TTACCGTAATTCACCCACTTGTACAAAATCCCTGCCACGCTGGCACTCACGCCTCCGCCATTTCCACTGTACAGTTTCGAGTCTCGAGATTCCGACACTAACTCAACAACAGCATTAGCCGCTGAAGATTTATCGGAATCTGTGCCAACTGAAGATACCTGAGTTGAAAAACTCGGTTTTACGGTCTTAACGGCAGCCGTTTCAAGCCCCAGCTGACAATGACTCGTCGATTTGGCAACCACCGGGTTGGACCGGTCCCGATCGATTGAAACGGGAGCAATGCAGCATAGAGGATTCATCTTAAGCACCAAAGCATTCACTATCAGATCAAAGATCGATCACATAAATTTATTGTTATTACTAGAAGCTGAGGATGAATACAGTGAGAGGAAGGAAAAGGGTCGGGTCGGGTCGGGAATGTGAGACCCGATCGGAGGTGGTGGTACAAGTGATGGAGAGTGAAACGAAACGGTTTCGTTTCGGAAATGACATAAAGATAAAAAAGTGAAATGGAGGAGGAGATCGATTCAAAGTGCGAGGCAGTTACGATTTATAAGTGTGGTGCAGTGCGCATACAGATCCATTGAAGGCAGTGGTCAGTAGAATTCAGTATTAAGTCAGTGTTGGCCTCCCATGTTAATAAATAACATCCAAGAAGCAAATTTATATATAAAACTTTTTTTATTTTTTCCTATTTTTTAAATTAAGTACCGACTTTAAAATTTTATCAATGCTAATTTAATATGAAAATAATGAGATATTAATTAATTTGGAATTTGGGTATTTGGATATGGACCATATATGGTAGTGGCCAGTGGGGAGACAGTTAACGTGCGCATTAGTGCACAGGGCGTAATTGGGTTAGGAGAGGTGGGGAAGAGTGTGTCCGTTGGGTGAGGGGAAGGAAGCCTTTTCGGACGGTGGCCCTAGCTGTGATGGCTTAGTTTGAATGACGGTTTTACCCCTTGCTGTTGTTACTTTTGGTTATAATTGACTGATCCTGATGTTGATTGAGGGCGTTTGGGTCCTTTCATGAGTGAAAACCATTTGTAAACAAAAGGTTGTGATACCCCTTACAAGATATTCGAGATTGAATAAAGATAGATTGATAAAAACTTTTTATAAATATTAACTTGACAGTTTACAATTGATCCGTTCGTATTTGAGTAGATGAAATTTATTGTTAAACAGATGAAATATATTACGTTTGTAAGAAATAATTAATAAAAAGGATTTATGACTGTCGTATTAATGTTCAAGATTTGTGGGAGAGGAGTGGGAGTGAGGTGGCAAGCATATAGCTGCTTCTTCTTCCTGCCAAATATGCATCATGAACAATGCCCTCTGCCTCCTATTTAATCATTTATAAAAATAAAATAAAATAGAAAAACATTATAATCATATTATTTACAATTAATTTATTTTTAGTTTCTTGCTATTTAAATTATATTAAATCAAGAGTTTGCAACTATTGGCCGCTCATAGTGGCGCCACTGGTGCGGTTGATCTGCTGGGCTGACTACTACAGGCTTTTGCTAAACTTTTAAGTTTGCGTAACAGTGACCAAAATTAGAAACACATTAATTTGACTGAATTTATATTCTGACAATAAAAAGAAAGTAAACTCGACCAAACTATTAGGGTTTTAAAGAATGAATATTGATAAGTTTTGTGGTTATAAAATGTTAGATTTTAGTGATTAAAATTGATCAAAATTTAACTTAAAATGAACAGATGTCCAAACCCTAATCACTCGATTGACAGTGATCAACGAGGTCAGTAAGAGTAGGGTTTGAGGGATTTTAGTGAGTGATGATCGGAAAAAATAAATATGATAATGTAGGGTTACAACGATGTCAGAATCAGAGACGGAATATAAATTTATATAATAAAGTGACATTTTAAAAATTTATTAGTGAAAATTATCATTAAGTCATTATTTGAGTGGAAAAAAGTCGTTTACTCAGACAAGATTTTCATCTCTTCGTTTAACCCACCAACCGACCCAATTGATAAATTGGCATGCTATTCACTTGATGCGTGGGCTATAAAAATATTAAATTAATTAAGAAATTTTATTATTATGTAAAAAGCAGCATAATAATGTATTTATACAAGATAATGTTCGTCCAATGAGTAACATAATCATAGTTAATGTTATTTGGGTGGACGCGTGATTATCATGGAACATTATTGAAAATGTTGTTTAGCTAATGGAGCTACTGTGAACATCATGTCAAGTTGAATTATAAAATAACAATAATTGGAAGAAAGCAGACTTGTACAGTAATATGTGTTTCATTTGTAAGCAAGCATTTTATGAAGAAGAAGAAGAAGAAGATGGGTAAAAAAAAAAATGTTGTGAAAGAGGAACCACCGACTGGTTTTTTGCAAGCACAAGTGGCAACCACCTGTCACGTGCTTCACCAGAGTTAACGTGATGACACGTGCAATTATACAACAACCTACAGATTTTAATTATAAGAAATAATATTAATGGGTAGATTGCATGATTAGCTTTGGATTCTCAAGAGTCTTCATTTCATGTTTAGCCTGGATTCGGTTTATGCCCACTAGAGTTAGCCCAGTTCATTGTTGTAGGTTCAGACAGAAGCAGCTGGCCCATGCCCAATTGATTGAATTCATTTAACATTGTAAATGCACCACCTCTTTACAACTTTTTGGTTCACGTATAGCATGTGAATCCTTGAAAATTCTTATTGTATTTTAAATCAAAGCCAACGTGTTTTCATCGTGATAAATTGCCAAAAAGATGCAATAATGTGATAGAATAATTGTTTTTCTTTCCCTTTTAAAAAAAAAATAAATGAATAAAGATAAAAAAATAAAGTTGCACCAATTATTATATTGAAAATTCAACCATTGGACACATGACACACTCATTTATGCGTGGTAATATGCAAATTTATGAATGAGGAAATGATTCCCACCTGAGGTTTGTGAGATTCCACTGGACATCCTAATTATATTTATTCAAGATTTTCACCTTAATTTAACCAGTTACTTTATTTAACAATTAAAGAGTAAAAGCATCAAAGTAACTCATATCTCAAATTCACTCAACTCATGCCCACCGTTGGTGCTAACGTCGCCCTTTTCCGTGGATCCCAACCGAATTTCTCTCCTAAACTGACATAAATCATCACCTAAAGCTCAATTCCTTTGCCCCTAACCTAACCAATTGATTTTTTGGCTGAATTTGGCTTGTTTTTTAGCGAATTTTCGTTCGCAAGCCACAACTCAGGCCTAATTTTGGCCGTTCCCATCGCTGTTGGCCTTCCTCAACCTTACCACTAACATCCCCACCCTCCATTGACCAAAACCCCCAAGGTTCCCGCTTGTCTCCTTCCACCAATCGTCGGTTGCCATTACATTAGGGTTTTGGATTTCTTAGCCAAATTCCAATTGATTCCGGTTGTCGAAACTCCTCTTACCATCGCTCTTGGCATCATAGGTGCCTCCTCTTCAAAACCCCCATAACCCCGCCTTTTAGCAACTCGTCGATCAGCATCCGTGATAACACTGCCTGTTGCCACGTTTTGGTTGTTTTTCTTAGTTGTTTTGGCTTTGATTTGATTGATTTTGGTTTGATTTGGAGTTTGTTTGTGTTATGGATTGATTGTACAAACCACTTGGCCATTTTCTCGATCATCGAACATCACCTCACCTGCCCCTACACAATGCCCACCAACTGTTCGACCATTTGCCCCAACCAGTCACGCAAACACAAACCTAGCGGCGGCCGACGATTGGTTGGGGTAGTGAGGTGGCTGGTTAGGGTTAAAGGGCAAAGGAATTGTGTTTAGAGTGATGATTTCCGTCAATTTGGGTGGAAATTTGGCTAAGATCCACAAGAAACGGGTAGCACCGACATTGACAATAGGCGTGAGTTAAGAGAAATTTGAGATGTGGGTTACCTTGACACTTTTATCATTCAATTGTTAAAATAAAGTAAACAGGGTTAGATTAAGGGTGAGAATCTGAAATAAATGCAATCAAGGGTATCAAGTTAGGATTTCGCTAAACCTCGGGTGGAAATTTTGCTCTTTAAAAATAATTAAAACTAGAGTAATACTGCACCTACAAAGTAACATAATACTATTTATGTTTCCATATTATTCATCATCATTTAATATGTATTTATTAAATTGATTTTTTATATTAATTATTCTAATAATAATCTGACACGTCACCTTGCAGAAAAAGACTTTGTATAAAATCTTTATGATTATAGTATTATTTTTAATAATGTGATTAATCCCGTTTATTATCAAATTTTATTTATTTGCACATAAACAGAAAAAAGCTGATATTTTATTGTTGGTGAAGTGAAATGAATGGGAGTTGTGGTAGGTAAATGCGAAACATTTTATAGAGTGTGTTTGTTTTATTATTTGAAAAAAGTTAAATTGGGTTATTATTACAAGGATAGATTTGAATTTGAAAATGTGTTTAGTAAGATTATTGTTTAAACTCTTATATTTGTTAATTTAATTAAACACCATCTATAATAAAATTTTTAAAATTAATAAAAACACCCTCACCCACCCATTAGATGTCCATAGCTGACTACCAATTGTCGAGAACATGTGGGCGCATGAGGTGTTTTTATTAATTTATAAACTTTTATTGTTAAGGGTGTTTAGTTAAATTAATAAATTTAAAAGAATTAAAAAAATCTAAATATACGGAGATAAATAGAACATAATTAGATTTTAAGAATAATGAAATAAACATATATTTTTAATATGATTGGATAAGAATAATAAAACAATCACTTTAATTTATTCATCTGTATTTAACCACAGCCTTATTTCCTATTGGTTAGTCACCATCAAATTTATCACCCTCCTATGTTTAATCGTAGTCCGACGAGGAAATAATCCACTGTGACTCCAAACTACTGTCCTATTGACTTTAGTGGAGCCCAATAAAAGTTTTCTCAAATCAAACCATCTCAACGTGTTGGTAGGTCAGGAGATTGGTCGCTCCATACGCACCGTCAAGTATTAGTACAGTCAAACAGACAAACCGCACTTTAGCCTCGATAGAAAACCCCGCAGAAAGAGAAAAGAGAGAGAGAAAGAGAGACTCGTTGTTGTTGTTGTTGAGTGTAAAGCTTATTTGATTGTTAAGAAAAGTATCGAAGACACAAAAGACAGTTTGATGGTAATGATGAAGAGTTTGATGAAGAGACCTTACTGTTCACATGGTTGAAATGGGTATTGGATTCACCAACTTGACGCGACCAAAACCAAGCTGTGCGTTGAGTCGCTCCTTTCACTTGCGTCACAAGTCTTTCATATACCACCACCAACACCATCATGATCCATTGCCTTGAACCTTTTATAGGATCTCAGTCGCGGATCCACCACAACCACTTTCATAGTCTGCTTTCTTTCTCCAATGGACCCCACATCTCGTCCGGCCGTCGTCATCGACAACGGCACCGGGTATATCTCTCGTTATTTATCCGTTTGCATTAATTTTTGTATATGGTTTATATGTTTTTTATGTGTGGCGCACAACATGTTTGATGAAATGTGCCAATTAGGTTTTGCCTACCTTTTGATTTTTATCATTATCTGTTTGTGAAAATTTTCTCAATTAGGTTTCTGTGTATTTGCAGGTATACTAAGATGGGTTTTGCGGGGAATGTAGAGCCTTGTTTTATTCTTCCAACAGTAGTAGCAGTCAACGAGTCATTTCTAAACCAATCAAGAACGTCTTCAAAGTCCAATTGGCTTGCGCAATACAACGCAGGCGTCATGGCGGACCTTGATTTCTTTATTGGGGATGAAGCATTCACGAGGTCGCGATCTAGTAGCACTTATAATCTTAGTTATCCTATTAGGCATGGCCAGGTCGATAATTGGGATGCTATGGAACGGTATTGGCAGCAATGTATTTTTAATTACTTGCGTTGTGATCCCGAGGATCATTATTTTTTGCTGACAGAGAGTCCGCTTACTGCACCAGAGAGTAGAGAATACACTGGTGAAATTATGTTTGAGACTTTTAATGTTCCAGGCCTTTATATTGCGGTGAATTCGGTGCTTGCTCTTGCAGCTGGTTACACGGCATCTAAGGTTGGTGTTTTAGGCTTGATTACCATATTGTTTTATTGCCTATATGAACTTTAAATTTAGTAGGATTAAATTGTGTTAATTTTTTTTTAAATGATTTTTGGAATCATATTTGCTACTGGTGAAGCTCATTAAGGCTGTGTAATGGTTGAATAGGATGTTGTTTACTTTTTAGGGCAGTAACTTTGCTTAGGCAACTTTATGGTGACTAAAAAAGAATGATGAATTCTTTCATCCATGAGAGCTCCATTTAGTTTCTGAGAAAGCTTAGTAAAAAATGCTCTAATATTGTTCTTAAGGCAATGAACTCTTTTGGCAATAAATTCTGAGAGATCATAGTGTTTCCACTTCCCATAAAATAAAATGAATACTGCTGCCAATTAAACTTCGTTCAGTTTCCTCTAGCAATGCAAGTAAAAATATCATGAACTCAGTGATACAAGGCCTTGGTAATCAGCTTGAACAATTGAATTCATTTCTTGTTTAAATATACATGAACAATTGTGGCCAGAATGAATTGCCTAATATACTGAACTTTGTCCTGTACAGTCCTTAGGGAGCTTCTGTGAGTGTGGGTTTTTACCAAAATTTTGGAGATTAATAGCTTTTGAACTGAATAATTTTACTCACTCTGTTTTATAAAAAAAAAAAAAAAAAAAAAAAAAGAGAGATTTTATCACAAACATACAGCTAAATAAAAATTTACAGGATTACCCAATTTCCCTGGGAAGAGCTTTGAATACAGAGTAAATATATCAGTAATAGATTGTTTGAGCAAGCTTTTTCGATTTGGAAGTTCATGAATTTACAGTTATAAAAATCTGCATTTTCTTGTTACCTTTCACATCACCTTCCTTCTTTCTTTAATAGTAATATTAATATTAATGTTATTATTATTATTTTATGTTTTGAAAAGAAAACCTAACTGAAATCCAGATCTGCATTATTTCTTCTTTATAATTCTCAATGCTTTTCAATTTATTCCTTGTAGATTGACCTATAGTTCTCTTTAGTGTGAGATGACAGGTGTTGTTGTGGATGTTGGAGATGGGGCTACTCATGTTGTACCTGTTGCAGATGGTTATGTTATTGGGAGTAGCATCAAGTCAGTTCCTATTGCTGGAAAAGATGTTACTCTCTTCATTCAGCAGCTCATGCGGGTATGTTTGGTTTGGCTCCCTCAGTATAAATTGTAATTTTAATGGTTTGTGCTTACTTTATGAGGTAGTTATTGTTTTTGAATAAATATTTATGATGGATCTATTTGAATTATGTTCTTAAGTAGTCAAGATTCATGAATTCTAATAAGCCTAGGTTTGTTGGTAGAGGTGAGCTGAATCTCTACAAAAAGTTTTGATCCTTGGATGGAAAGTTAGGATTTTGACATATTTATGTCAGATGTAAACTTTTCATCCACTAGGATAAAAGATACAAGAAAGCAGTGCCATGAAAACTTCAATGATAATGTGCACGATTAAGATTTTTTGTTTTTTTACTGAAAGCATCTTCCATAGTATTAGTCCTTTGAATTATAAGAGCCCATCTAATGGAAGCAGTTGATAGCCAAGTGATGAAGTCTGTGTTCTTTTTGTCTTATTAATTAAGCATGTAGTAATTGCCTTGCACCGCTGTTTGAGGGGATAAAGGTTTTCATTCTTCAGCCTCATCTGTGTACCAATTGATTGTTGATTTTGGACACTTCATCTCCATTCAATCTTAATTTTTTACAGTTTGTCATGAATCGACATTTAATTGTAATCTGTGTTATGCCAGATGCTGATATTAAGTATAGTTTATACATTTTGTTCTAGCTGCTGTTGCATTTTTTATTTTAAATTTTATTTTCTGTCAATTCAGGCTATTTGAAAAGATACTATGAGCTGACAACCACACAACATTATCTATTTCGCCAGTAAAAGTCAATAAAACATCATCCTCTAGAAATAATTTTTTGGCATCAAAAATTTTATATTTTATGTTAAATAAGAGCTGTAAACTATACAGTGGTTGTTGAATACTGACAATCCTTTCATTTAAATATTGTTTTGTTTAGGAAAGAGGAGAGAATGTACCACCAGAAGACTCATTCGAGGTTGCTCGAAAAGTAAAGGAAATGTATTGTTATACAAGTTCAGACATTGTCAAGGTTTGCTTCCTATAAAAATTAAGTGAAATTATGTTGTTCAGTGTAATTTTCCTGATAATTCTTTTGAGTTTGACAAAGTTGCACGATTCCTTCAATGATTGCAGGAGTACAACAAGCATGACAAAGAACCAGCAAAATATATTAAGCAATGGAGAGGTATCAAACCAAAGACAGGGGCACCATACACTTGTGATATTGGTTACGAACGATTTCTTGGCCCTGAGGTTTGTTGTATTCTATCACAAGCATTTTCATCTTTTGACTGAATGACAGTTAGCTTTTCCTCCACTATTAGTAAATAAGATTTTTGCATATATAACTGATGCAAGCACCATGCCGTTTTTTCTGGAGATTTGGGTTTGAACTTGCAATGGAAATCCTTTAAAACCATAGGAAATGGTGTTACATTTAGCTTGTTTTCCTTATATCAATGTATATGTTAATTAACAGCATATCAGGTGCAGTGTTTCTCCGTTCTCATGCAAGAGTATAGTTTTGATTAATGTCAGACATTAATGAATAAGCAATGAACTTTTTGCTTCATGAGTTGCTGTGCTGCTTTCTGGTGAACTTGCTCTGATGAATTTCCTTGCTTTCCTGATAGATTTTCTTTAATCCGGAGATCTATAGCAGCGATTTTACCACTCCTTTACCAGCTGTAATAGATAAGTGTATCCAGTCTGCGCCAATTGACACAAGAAGGGCATTGTATAAGGTATGGATAGAATCAGGAAGGAAAAAGAATGCATATTTTTGTTCTTAGACAAGATGTGTCAAAATGAAACAGTAAAAAGTACCTCTATTAGATGATTCTTATGGGAACTTGTGACCTTTTGCTTTGTTGGTTGTTTGACCATAGGAAGTTTTGGCTTCATTTTACCAGTGTTTTCAATCATGTAAACTGTAATCTGATTTCTCTAACCTTTCTTACTTGCATAGTTCCTAACTCTGTATCATGATTTTTGGAGGTATTTGAACTTCTACATGTTCATCAAGAGATGTTTGCTCTCATTATTAATCCATGTAGATTGAGTGTGCTTAGACCTGGCTTTATGAATATTTATAGCAGTGATTTAGGAAAAGTTAAACCTGTAATACTCTCATATTTTTTGAACTTTTTGAAGTAATTGTTTTTGGTTGTTATTCAGAATATAGTTTTATCTGGAGGATCAACCATGTTTAAGGACTTCCACAGAAGGTTGCAACGGGATTTGAAGAAGATTGTGGATGCTCGGGTTCTTGCCTCTGATGCTCGACTTGGTGGTGAATTAAAAGTAATTAATTTTATTTTATTATCATTTACTTTAATTGTAATAACAAAAAAATTGTTTTTGATTATCAACATTTTAAAAAAAAATGAGCTGATCATCTGCGTTTGATTGTAGGCGCAACCTGTGGAAGTTAATGTTGTCAGCCATTCTATCCAGAGATTTGCAGTATGGTTTGGTGGTTCAGTACTTGCATCAACACCAGAATTTTTTGCGGTATGGATCTGCAAGCTCATATTTGATTATATTGTCATATGTCAAGTTCTTCCTACTTTTATCTGCAGAGTCATCCTGGTACTATCTCTTTTAGATATAAAGGTGCCTCTTGATCTAGGACTGACTTTTAAAGAAATGTTTGTGGTCTGACTTTTTGCCCTGCCATCTGGAATCCTTCAATCACATCATGTTGTTTGGTCTAGATAATTGTAAACAAAGGGGACTTTTTCTGCTAGTTTAATTTGAGATCTAAAGAAGTAATCTTGTTGATTAAATATATGAATAGCCTTAAATTCTGGTTCTGTTTAGACCAATAAAAGACATGGGGAAACTCTGCTGTGAATGACTTGCTACCAGGTTGTTTCTGAATGTTGTTTGATCACTTACACCTACCTATAACACTGGTTTGGTTCTCAAGAAGACTGGATCAGATAGTCCCTAATGAAGCGCTTTATTAGTTTAAATGGACCATTATATAATAAATTGGGTTACATCAAGGACTTCTTGGTTAAATTTTTGGTGACAGGATGGGAACATTCAACGACTTTACAAGCTGCTTATATAGATATGGGCATACACACGCCTTTTCAGTTTTCTGTTGTTGATCATCAGTATTTCTTGTGCTGATCAACACTCCTATAGAAACTAATTATTCTTACATGAAAATTATTGATTGAAAAGTTTCTGCTCCTTGTACAGGCTTGCCATACAAAAGAAGAGTACGAGGAATATGGAGCAAGCATATGCCGCACAAATCCTGTTTTCAAGGGGATGTATTGATAAAAAGAATGATTTCTGCTGATTGTTTGGCAGGCATTTCTTGATGTTGTTCCATCAATTGCCTAAGCCTCATTGCCCTCCTCTCATCTTTGCTTCTTGTTAAATGTTAATCATGGATGAGAAATGGTGTAAAATATAGGGGAAAAAAATAGGTTTCCTGTATTCATTCATTGATTAGGGAGCTAAAGAGGAATTTCTCATCTGCCAATAGGATGCGGCAATTTGGTTGCAAGTAGGCCGTGCTGGCACTTCGGATCAGATAAGAAATTATGAATTAGGCAAACATCAACACAGCTGAATTGCATTTGAAGTGTTCAGCTTAGAAGGATATGATAAAAAAAAATTTCCCTTTTTTCCTTTTAAATTGGTTGGGAGAGATTATTTCAGCAAGGTATATTTTGAGGTAGGCAGTTTGATTCATATTATTTGTCGTATTGGAAGTACTAATTTGAGTTAGAAATTTGTTTATGTGAATTCAATTTCTGTATCCTCTTGTAGGTACATGTACTGTACATTGTATGAATGTTAAGAAACTTGTATAATGTGGATGATTCTTAGAATTCTCAATTGTTGTGATTTGTGAATTATGATCAAAGATGGTTAAGTCGTTTCGTTGCTTTATCTATCCAGGTTATTGAATCCTTAATAATTGATGTCACAAAAAGAAATTCTTATATCAGTCAGGTAAAAGGTTCAAACAGGTTTAGGCATTACTCACACGGAAAATGATAGAGTTACCGAAAAGTTTACACCGAATTTGTGCATCGAATGACGTAGTAAAATCCTGACCGTTGATTAATATTAACTGATAATAAATCAACGGTCAGGATTTTGTCACGTTATTCGGTACACACCCGTCGGTAACTGTAGCATTACTCAGCTGGTAATTCTAGAAATGCAAGAAAAACAATCAATAGAATTTGAGCTGTGTTGTAACTACCATTGGATGGTCTTATGGTAAGAGAGGAAAAAAAAGTAATATGAGCTTTTGATTTCGAGTCTTCACAGGCTTTAATAGGGATGATCACTGAGGGGTTTGTTCAGTCCTCAACTTTAGAATCTTGAGGGATTAGTTGAGGTACGTGTAAACTGGTCTAGACACCTTTGATAAATAAAAAAAAAAAAAAAAAAAGGTGCTGTGAACTCTTCTTACTTACCTATCTTTGTCATGAGAATTATCATCTCATCTTCATCTTAGCCCAACTACGGTGATTTAAGCCTATATATTCATGTAATTTTGTTTTGGTTGAAGGGTATAGTGGGAAAAAGTGAAGAAATTCTGGTTGGATATCCCAAATATCCAATTAGAATGTTCAAGGTAGAAACTTCTTCACTTATCCTAAATTTGGCATGTTAAACAGGCTTAATAGGGAAGATAAAAAGTAGAACGCAAATTACATCACTATCCTCATAAACCTTATCTCTTGAATTCCATTATTTAGATCTAGGGGAATAATTGAGATCTTCTCCCCTATATTTATTCTAATCTGTCAAATTTGGTGTAAATATGGGTAAAAGGGAATCAATCCATTCCTAGAAATTGTCAGAATTATTTTTATAAACAAATAATAATATATTAATAATATTATTAAGGCACTGTAAAGTACCATAAAACTGTAATTACAGTTGCAAAAATGATAAATAAAATGAACAAGTAAATTTATATTTGGTTTGACTAAGAAACAATTATTATACACAGGGGATTAAAAATTTTAATTAATATAAAACTCGTGTTCTAAGGCTTAAGGTACGATCATCATGTATTAGCCTGCTGGGAAAGACGAAACGTGAATCAAATCCACAAGGGTTTCACTGTAACCAGAAGAAAATACAAGCACAGATATAACAAGATTAAGACTCAGAGAGGGAGTCAAAGACAATTTTTTATTGAGCTCTGGTAGGTTTAGCTAAAAGGTTAAGAAATAAAATTTCTTCAAAATCATATACATAATAAGCCGATTCTGCGTTTTCTTTGGTTTGCTTCTGTGCTGTAAGATTAATCTTCTTGTACTTTGTGAATCTTCTTTAGGGAGATTTTATGTTACGATAGCTGAGGTCTGAGATTTATAGCGATTTATATATCTTGTTTTGTTTTGTTTTTGTCGTGGGTATAAGGTATTTAGATGCGATTCATATGATTTTTACCAAGTGGTTATTATAGATTTATATGCTTTGATGGATATTTTAAGTTGGCTACTTAGCATTTCTTCTGATTCTCACTATATTTTGTTGGCGGGTCGTAGATTTTATTGATATCGTTATTATGGTAGCATCTGGGAACTTTTTGATACTTTGTTTTGATCTGTATATCTATCGATCTTTTTGTATCTGTATAGGCTACGCTGTTGTTCTCCTCTTTTGGTAGGAGTTGAATTTACAGTGTTCTTTCGTTCCTTAAATACAATGTTTAATTTTGTGTTTTAAATAATATATATATATTTTTTATATTTGCTAGAGTATTCTGATTGATTAACTTGAATTTGAGGTTTATTTGTGCATAAAAAATGTGTTTGTTTGATTGTTGATGGATCTTTGCCCCTCGATCTTTTTGATCTGAAGTATGAAAATATTTTTAATAGTTCTCTGGATTGGGGCTTAGCTTTTTAAATGAGGGATAGGAATAATATTCTTTATTATGATGGTCAGCTTGAATGGACCCAATGGCTGAAGAGCAAATAGATTATGAAGATGAGGAGTATGGAGGGGGTCAGAAGATGATGTATCAGGGAGGTGGAGCCATACCTGCGCTTGCAGATGAAGAACTGATGGGAGAAGATGATGAATTTGATGAGCTCTATAACGATGTTAATGTTGGAGAGGGTTTATTGCACTTTCAGCAGCCTGAAGTACCACCTCCACAGAGTGCCAGTGGTGTGGGTAATGGAGGTCTTCAAACTCAAAAACCTGAGGTTCCTGAACCTCGGCTGCAACCTGGGGGTTCACAAGGCCCAAACGTCCCTGGTGTTTCTGTTGAAGTAAAGTTTTCTAATTCTGGAACCCGTTTTCCTGCTCAAAATGAGGGACAGGTGGCTGTTAACAGACCAGACATCGGATCTGCGAGTTATGCAGATGGGGCTTCTGTTTCCCAAAAAGGGAATGTTGTGGAGATGAATCATGATGCCCCAATCAGAAATACGGGGTTTCAAGGGTCTACGTCAGTGCCCCAAAAAGCTGCGCTTGATCCATCTAATATGCCTGGAAGAGTAGTCAATGAGCCTGCACCTTTGCTAAATCCTGGCACTGGTGGCCCTCAAGGTGTTATACAGATTCCAGGTAATCAGATGAGTGTACATGCTAATGTCAATCGTCCTATGGTGAATGATAATCAGATCCGGCCACCTATGGAGAATGGTGGGACTATGCTGTTTGTAGGAGAATTACACTGGTGGACAACTGATGCAGAACTTGAAAGTGTTTTATCTCAGTATGGAAGAGTCAAGGAAATTAAGTTTTTTGATGAGAGAGCTAGTGGAAAATCCAAAGGTTATTGTCAAGTTGAATTCTATGATTCAGGTGCCGCAGCTGCTTGCAAAGAGGGAATGAATGGTTATGTTTTTAATGGACGAGCATGTGTTGTAGCTTTTGCTTCTCCACAAACGTTGAAGCAAATGGGAGCTTCTTATATGAATAAAAACCAGGGTCAGCCTCAGTCTCAACCTCAGGGAAGGAGACCCATGAATGATGGTGCAGGGAGAGGTGGTAATATGAATTATCAAGGTGGTGATGGAGGTAGGAACTATGGAAGGGGTGGCTGGGGACGAGGTGGGCAGGGTGTACCCAACAGAGGTCCTGGAGGTGGACCAATGAGGGGAAGAGGAGGGGCTATGGGTGCAAAGAATATGGTTGGAAGCAATGCTGGTGCTGGAAGCGCTGGCGGTGGTGGGGGTTATGGACAAGGGCTTGCAGGTCCTGGATTTGGGGGTCCAGCTGGTGGTATGATGCATCCTCAGAATATGATGGGTGGGTTTGATCCAACATATATGGGTCGAGGAGCAGCTTATGGGGGATTTTCAGGTCCTGGTTTTCCTAACATGCTTCCTTCATTTCCTGCTGTTAATGCAATGGGACTTGCTGGAGTGGCTCCTCATGTCAACCCAGCGTTCTTTAGTCGTGGGATGGCAGCTAATGGGATGGGAATGATGGGTTCTTCTGGAATGGACGGACCTCATCCGGGAATGTGGACTGACTCAAGTATGGGTGGATGGGGAGGGGAGGAGCATGGGCGGAGGACAAGGGAGTCAAGTTATGGTGGAGATGATGGTGCTTCTGATTATGGGTATGGAGAGGCAAATCATGAAAAGGGAGTAAGGTCAAGTGCAGCCTCTCGGGAAAAGGAACGGGTTTCTGAACGTGACTGGTCAGGGAGTACTGATAGGAGGCATCGTGAAGAGAGAGAACCAGACTGGGACAGGTCTGAAAGGGATCACAGGGATCACAGGTACAGGGAAGAAAAAGATAGTTACCGCGACCATCGACAAAGAGAACGCGACTCAGCATATGAAGATGACTGGGATAGGGGGCAGTCTTCTTCAAGATCTCGAAGCAAGTCTAGAGCAATGCCAGAAGAAAATCACAGGTCTCGATCAAGGGATGCAGATTATGGGAAGAGGAGACGACTACCGTCAGAGTGACAGAATTTGCTGTTCATTCATCTGTGGCAAATCGTACATGACTCAAATTCTAGAATTCACCCTTAGTGTTTTGCTCTTGGGTTGTTAAAGTGCATCAACAATTGCTCTCCCTGCTTTTCATCGGCCCAAATGCAGACAGTGACTTCTTGAGGGAAAAGTAAGTTCTACTCGTAGGAGGGAAGAATAGATTCTCCCTTCCTTTCGTACTGCATTCTACAGAACATTATTACAAAAACTTATTTGTGTGTTAAAATATGATTAGTGAACTTTGAGTTGCATATCTATGTGGATATTCTCTGTGGGGTTGGACTCCTGATATCCTGCAGCTGAGTATCCCGTTGGCTTTTATTTGCTCTACTGAATCCTATCTTCGAGATAATGTTTCTTGGGCGTTTGGTTTTCATATGCTTTGAAGCCTACTTGTTTTATATGGTTGTTGATTTAATGACCCATAATTTTTCTACCCCTGGTTCTTGCATTTGTTGCTTCAGTGAAAGTTTTTATTGAAGCCACATGATTATAACAGTACAAAGTTAAAGGTTCATACTTCTTGTGTACCTTTTCATTTCTGAGTTATCTTGCTAGCTGAGTTTAGTCTGCACATGCTGAAGTTTTGTTTTTTGTCTCGTTTTTCCATATAGCTGGCGTCAGTTTTCTTATCATTCTTCATGAAGATATGGTTTATTAATGTGTGTTTTATATTCAATATTCATAAACATTTGAAAGTGCTTGTCTCTGGGCTGTGTTAGCATTCTTTGATTGTAGATTGTGGTTTTTGTTCTTGCCAACTTATTCTGTTGCTAGTTGGAATTGTATTTAAGGTATGCTTGTAAGTCTGGAACAGTGCAATACTTTTGTATTGTGTATAATGCATGTAATATTTATGTCTCGCCCCTTCATATTACTTCCAGTTGGCATTTGGAATTAAATGTGAGAATTTATGGGTGGTGATAGTTATTCTTGTTAGTCAAAACGGGGGATGCCACATGTTTGGATCCAAGCAAATTGCTACTGTTATTGGGTTTCTTAGCCCTGCCTTGAGAAGTCCACCTTTAGTGTTTCTCTTGGCTTTGGTAATGTCTAATATGCAATTGCTAATGTTTTTTTCCCATATTGTCTCCCTTTAGAAGAAGGGAAATTATGGTTGGTATGTAGCAGATCATTAGTATTTTATTAGCAAGTTTGATTTTTTATCAAAAAAGTCATTCTAGCGTTACTTTTAGTGAAATACAGCCACAGCATGATAACTTAATGTTAGAATGGATGCTATTTATGCTACTATATTTATATTCATTGTTGTTTTTGTATTGCTCATGCTTCCTTGACCGTGGATTACAAAGAGTTTTTTTGTTCTTTTGGGTTATCCTTCTTATGTTTGAAATGAGTGGTTAGAGCTAGGTGGAATAAGTCACAAGGGTCATTTATCATTATTAGAGTTGTGTTACTAAAAGGTTGTGATATTTGCTTTGGCCTTTTAGTAAATGATTTCTGAAAGTTTCAGTTTTAAGGCTTATCTTGAAAGCATGGTTTCCTATATTACTTTATTACTTTTCTCTTTCTCTCACTCCTTTTTCTTCGGAATTTTTTTTCTTATATCTCCTCAAAGTTTCAATAACGTAGTTGTATTAAAGAGTCTTTGAGTTTTACCTGACATTAAATTGTTAAAACAGCTGTTTAAAATGGTGCAGAACAATATTTTACCTTTACAGCAACTCTAATTCCATATTATATTTTATAGGTTTTAAATGTTCTACTATTCTGGTGGCTATTAACATATTAGAATAAGTTACAAAAGTTCTACCTGTTAGATTATATTCTAAGAATGAAATGTCAGCATTTCTGTTGTTACAAATTTTGGCTTCGTATGTTAGCTTTATTAACTTTACATACAGAATTTTGGGTCACAATGATTAACATCTTTTTATAGAAGTGTAATGCCCTTAGATTTGTGTAATAATAGGATAGGTTTGGAGATACTCAGAGTTAAAATTTTCTATTAGATTATGAGGTGCCTATACCTTGCAGTTAAGGACTTTACATCACTTCAATATTGGAATCTGGACCATTAATTGTGTGGGCCTACTGGCAGCCATTTTCATGGTTGGTTGGAGTCGGTGCAAAATGTAAAAGTATTTTGGGGAATATTACCATATAAGGTGCTGTGTTGTGTCTGCATAATGATTGATAGACATAGGGTGTCTGAGTAGTGTCTTTTGGCAAATTATTTTTCTTTTTAAAAGTCTATTGACATGGGGGCTTTCTTTTTATCGTCATATTCAGGGAGTGGAGTGGGCAACTCTCTGTTTTCATGAGTGGATGTGCCTGGAGGAAGATGTGTTTGATGGTCTGCATTCATTACTAACTCAAATATTGGCCTTGGTCTGTCAAGTGAGCAAAAGAAGCCTTGACAATTTTGCTTTGACCTTTTTTTCCTCAAGCGCCCTTAAGATCTGTAATTTGCTCTCCGGGAAGAAAATGCATAGAAATAGTTGGGAGTCTTGAACTTGTCAAATATGGAATGGATGTTGATTATAGGGTTTTCATACCACTTTGTAAAGCATCATTTCACCTGTAAAGTCAAGTACATGTATTAGGTACCAGCATTTAATGGCCTCCTTCATTATTTATTTGACCATTTGTGGCTCACTGTGAGCTTGTAAAAGAGTTGTACTGACTTTGAGGCCTATACTTTGTCATATTTGATTTGGTGTAATTGAGGATTTTAATTGTGATTGGATCCTCAGTGATGAGCTATTAATACATTGTAATCTGCGTTGCTGTTCCACGTGTAATTGGTTTTTGTAACATATATAATATTAATTTCTGTTACCATGAGAGTGTAAAGGATTTTCAACATTTCGTATTTTAAATTCAATTTATGTAAATTTTGACGTTTACTGGCGCATAAGAGTCATACGTTGTGGACTTCGCTGCATTGTAAATGGGCTGGACCAAGAGTTTTGGTTGTTTTGGGTATGTTTCGTCGTTGAAGGCGTGATGTTGTGCTCCTTGTGAATTTCTCTTTCCCTGTAGTAAACTTGTTGTAAGAAGATTTTGTAAAGCATTTCAATTGTACTACTTTTCTTGGTGGAATTTTTTTGTATAGATCAAGTTTCCTGGATTGCATGCCAGAAATTTTAAAATAGGTTGGACAATTTTCTGGTTAGTTTCAATAGGGAGTGGTACTGTTTATTCAATGTGTATTAGATTTTTCCTGTTCCCCTATCTCCTTGTATCTGTGTATGAGGCAAGACAACATCAGTGTTCAAGGTGGCATATACTCAATTACCTGCCTTCCCCTGTGTTGTTCTGATGCTCTACTTGCTTAATAAGGAAACTGCAAGAGTTGGGTTCACAATTTTCCTGCCGGCTGCTGCAATATGTACTTGCACATCTTCTCTTACTTTTGGATGGCTTCTGTATTCTTAAACAAGTCACTTTGTAGATATTTTTCCATTCTTTTTGGTTTTGAGTTCTGTAATTGGGTGTTTGCTATGATTGTTGATTTGTAGTTCTGTGTAATCAGTCTTCTTGCCAGATGTATTGTAGAATAAGGTCTATTCTATCTATTTAATTAATGATCTTCCAGAAAATATTTTGCAAATTTGAATTTCTTCTTGTTTCCGGTTTCCATTTTGTGTATTTGTAAGCCAACAAGAACAGGGTATAGTTTGTTTGAAGCCGAGTGTTTCTTAAGGTTCCTTTCTGCTGATATATTGACGTGCTTGCCTGCATTCTGTTTAAAAGTTGATCAGTTTTTCATTTATTTATGCAATTATTTCCTAGATGAAGGCATTCTCTTTAAGACTAGTTCTTGAAACATTCAAGTAGAAGCTTGATAGTCTTGTGCATTTTTATTTTACATGTTTATTTCCTGCAGGTGTCTAGACAATAGGCTTCATTCTCATCCAAAATTATGCATGTTTTTTGTTAACTTTAAACATTCTGTTTTCTTATTGCGGCATGAATTTTTGGCATCTGCAGGTGGTTTGGTCGTGTGCAAACACATTTAACTCATATTATATGCTTAAGCTTGAGTTCAGTTGAATTCAATTTTAGTAACCGTGTTCTACTTACACACACACACACACACACACACACAAAAAGTGGGGGTTTTGTGAATGAGTGAATTTTGATTTCTTGTTGGTTTAATTGAATTTGTGGAGTCTCTTCACTGATGCATGTAGTTAATGGCATGTGAATGGAAGGTGATTTTTCCAGAATCCAGTATGGATGGGTGGCTTTCTATTTTGTGATGAGCATTGCCATCTGATCTGGGTAAAATTGACTGCTGAATTGCAAGTGTATGAAAGTAATATATGGAAATGGAGATTTCATGTGTGTAAAGGTGTTATCTCTGAGTGTTGTTGGTTATGGAGATGCTGAACTAACAATCTTCTCACATTTTTATTTGATATCATAAACTAAAGGAATATATATCTGAAGTTGAGCAGCTAAATATTTCGATACATCTTTCTCATTTATGGTTCCGGAAAATAAAATTTATACCCTATTTTTCAAATACAAACTGCTTAATGTCAGACTAAAAACCAATGTACATACAAAACATAGTCGCCATTTGCACTCCGGTCTGGTCGATTGGCCGACTTTAAACGTGACTGTCGCGGTTTTTCAATGATTGATCAGGCCAAATCAAGGTTAGGCAGCTGGCCGAGGCATGTTCGGCCAGGCCACCATTAGTAGAGCTTCCATTTCTTAGAATTTTTAATTTAATTTTTGTAATATATTTTTGTTTTTATGATTTGGGCAGATGAATGAATTTATGATTTCTGTGAATGAATGGTGTTTATGATTGTGTTGGGATAATGGATTAATTTTGTTTGTTGGAAAGATTCTCGATTAATATTCAATATAGGGGTAAATGTAATGTTGTGTGTTTCTAAAGCCAAGGGTGTCTCCGTTTATGTGTCACACGTTAGAAACATAGCATTTCTCATTATAAAATAAATTGTAAAATCGTATAAAACAAAGAGCAAATCACATTTTCCCACCAAGGTTTAGCTAAATGATAAGGTTCTACCTCTAGTTTTATATATTTTAGATTCTCAACCTTAAATTAATATTGTTAATGATTGTTGGGTTTCGACATAGATATAAAGGGTATTATTACCAAATTACGGTCCTCTCTTCTTCTTCATTTCCCCCTCCTCCCGTCTTCATACCCTCCTTTTCATCTTCTTAATTATCTCTCAACCAGTTTATCTAAGATTTGGTTAGAATTTGAGTTGATTTGCGCAAAAACCACCACAAACTCGAGGGGTTGGGGGGGTGGTGTGGAAGTGACTATTGGAGGGTGGCAGCTAGAGGTGGGCGCACACGTAGGGTTGTGCGGGCGTGTGTGCTTGATGGGCAAGCACTAGGTGTGGGCTTTTGTTGAATGGTTGAAGAGGAGTTAAGGGGAAGATGATGGTGGCGTTGGAGCGGTCTAATGGTATTAGAATCAGGTTGAACTAGTCGGAAAACGGTTGATGATGACGTCGACAACGATGGTGAGTTGAGAGAGGGTGAATGAGATATGAGTTTTGAAATTATCATTTTACCCTTTAAACGTTACATTAAATAGTGTTTTGTTAATTGAAGGGTGGAAATATGAAATTTGTAAAATCAGGGATGAGAACTTGTCATTTTGCTATACCTTGGGTGAGAACATGTCCTTTGCTCTAATGCAAAATTTTCAAGTAATTGAATGGTCTTGTTACTCTTTTTTTATTAATATGCATACCGACTTAGTTAGCTAATTCAACTTAAAATAATTAATTAGGAATGACTCAGTGAAACGATTTCCGAAAACAGAAAGACGAGCATTAATTGATCATGAAGCAGGTTTAATGTAGCATCTCCTAGCTTTAAATTAAAAATAATAAATAACCGAAAAGAGAAAGAATTTGTATACGTAAAATTATCATCTTGAAATTTCGAGAAACAATTACACTAATCTTCATTCAACTTGAGCTTTCACTGACATCATAATCCATAGAACTCAACACTAAGACAAGAAATATATCATGCATGCATGGATATATGCCCCAATTAATGAACCATTAAGTCTTTAGGCTTAGAAGAAGAAAGCCGAGATAGTAACTCCAGCCAGGAGGCCAGAAACCCGGAGAGCGGTGGCACCACTTCCAGGAGGAGCATCGGTTTTTGACTCACTGCCAACGGGTGCAGGCAAGGCCACATCAGGCATTGTAGCATTATCAGCGATGGGGGAAGAGGCTGGAGAATCGGAAGTCTCAGTGGGAGGAGGGGCATTGCTGGGCGCCGATGATTCAGAGGTGGGCGGTGTAGAGGAGGAGGTTGGGGGAGCCGGAGTGTCGGGAGGCGGGGTACTTGCCTCGGGAGCTGGGGTATTTGGAGGTGGGTTGTTGGATTCATTAGTAGGTGGAGGTGGGCTGTTTGAATCATTAGCAGGTGGTGGTGGGTTATTTGAGTCATTAGCAGGTGGTGGTGGTGGTGGGTTATTTGCATCATTAGCCGGTGGTGGGGGGTTTTTAGAATCATTAGAAGAAGTTGGTGGGTTTGAATTTGGTGTTGCTGGGGAAGTTGGTGGGTTTGGACTTGGTGTCGCTGGTACATTTGGTGGATTATTTGGAGGATTAGCAGCCGGGGGAGTTGGAGGTGTTGTTGCCGCCGGGGCACCTTCCTTTGGAGGATTAGCATTTGTTTGATTAGAATTTGTTTGATTTGCATTTCCTGGTGCTGGGTTATTGGGGGCAGGGGCCCCTCCTGCCTGGTTCTGGTTCTGGTTTTGGTTTTGATTCTGGTTCTGGGCCGAGGCCAACCCAACAATGGCAACAAAGACAAGAACAAGAGCAGTGACTTTTGGTGCCATTTTGACGTCAAATAGGTTTGTTGTTTTAAATTTATGTATCCAAGTTGAATTTTATGCAGAGTTCTCTATATGAGAACAGTGCAGATCGCACAAATGATTGGTGTACGATGTATCAAGAGTTTTGCAACGGTATTGCATATATAATCTTGGGTTTAGCCATAAATTGTGGACATTCTTATGGTGTAGGGGATCTTGTTTGCGCAGATTTCAGGATAACCAAGTACTCTTTACCTATTTTTGGTGCTCTTTACAAAACAATTCTGGGTACTTTCTTTTGCTAAGTTTAGTTCAAATTTTGCATTTCTCCAGCTGTTAGTTGTTGCATTTTCCTTGTTTGATCAACCTAATTAATGAATTCAACATTCACGAGTTTTTCGTTTTTTCAATGATTTAAGGAGCCCAACATACCCACATAACACATAGTAGTAGTAGTAGTTTAATCACCAAAACGTTAAAGACTCAGTAATGGCACCCATATCACACTCAAATGCTCTTTGCCTTGTGAATCCCAAATTAACTTTATTTAGAGAGATTTCAATTTTGTGATTGGGACATCATAACACAAAAATAAATAAATAAGGCCAATTCTCAATATGATTCCAACAATAAATTTAATTTACAATTTTATTATTCTTATTATTATTATTGGGGGTATTCGAGTCAGTTTACGTGTACTTTAATTAATTTATCCAAGGCTCTAGAATTGTTAGTCGGGTAAGAGTCCCCCAGTGACCACCCTTATTAGTGTTTGGGGAGGACTTGAACTAATTGTTTGAGAGTCTGAGACCCTAGAACTGCAAGCGGGTAAGAGCCCCCCAATGACCACTCCTATCCCTATTAGTGTCTAGGGAGACTCGAACTAATCGTCCGGGGCCTTGAAACTATCAATTGGGTAGGAGCCCTCTAGTAGCCACTCATATTAATGTTTGGGGGACTCACTCAAGGAGCTCATGAATCTCATTATACTATTTTACTATCAGACTATTTAGTAGTGGTTTTTATTTTACAATTGTGGTATATTATAAAGAACAATACCATTTATATAAACTTTTTTCATACAACCTTATGTGTCATCACTGTTTAATTGACAAATCATTTATCTAATTTGTTGAGCATTTAATGAGTTAATTTTTTTACGTGCATTCATCCATTTATTTCATGACACATAAGGGTGAGGAAAGAGTTTTTACAAATAATATTATTTGTATAAATTCTATCAAAAATATCTAAACAATTGAGGGAACGGGCCGGTTCAAATAGAATGGGAGTTAGCGGCCCATTAAGTCTCAGCATAAAATTACGAATTTACCAGAAAGTTAGGGCTTTGAACACACCCGCCCTCTCGATATAAATCTCAGTGTCACTACGCTCGCAAGGCTTCTACGTTCTTCTTGAAATCTGATTCAGTGAGAGGATGCAATACTGAAAATCCAGAAGACAAGAAAATGGCGTTAGCGTTTGATGAGTTTGGTCGTCCATTTATACTAATAAAACAGCAAGATGAGAAGTCCAGGTTGCGTGGACTTGATGCTCAGAAAGCCAACATTTCTGCCGGCAAAGCTGTGTCTCGGATCCTCCGAACCTCGCTTGGACCCAAAGGCATGGACAAAATGCTCCAGAGCCCCGACGGTGACGTCGTCATTAGTACGTCTTCTTCTCCCGTTTAGATTTTACCGGTTTTTGCTTTTTTTTGCTTGGTTTATGGATCTTAGTGAACATTATGTTAAGTAAAGTTCTTGACTGTTTAAGTTTAGGGTTCTGTGTGTGAGAAGTGTTCAAGTTTTAAGGAGTTTGATTAAACTGTTTTTGTAACTATGTGTAGAAATTTACATATGTGCATTATGAGGGGTAGACCATTTAATCTGAGATTTATGGATTTCGTTGCATTTCACTCATTAGGAAGGCGAATAAAGTTGGTAGATTTTGTTTCATTACCCTTTTTTTTCTTTTTTATATTTGTGTTTTCAGCAAATGATGGTGCCACGATCCTTGAGCAGATGGATGTCGACAATCAGATTGCAAAGTTGATGGTTGAATTATCTCGTAGTCAGGATTATGAAATTGGTGATGGGACAACTGGTGTTGTTGTTTTGGCTGGTGCACTTTTAGAGCAGGCTGAACAGCTTTTGGAACGTGGAATTCATCCTATTCGAATTGCAGAGGGATATGAAATGGCTTCTAGAATAGCTTTTGAACACTTGGATCGTATTGCTCAGAAGTTTGAATTTGAGGTTTCTAATATAGAGCCTCTGGTTCAAACTTGCATGACTACTTTAAACTCTAAGATGTAAGTTCTCGTTTATCACCTACTTCCCCCTTAGTCTTGTTCTTGTCTCCTGGCTCCTTGCTGTTCCCCCATCTGCCATATTCTCGGTATTCTCGCTTGCTTTTCCCCTATCCCTTCCTCTCGGTCTAAGCTGCGTTTTCCTCATCCCTTCCCCTCCCTTGCTCTCTCTCTCGTATATGAATCTCTGGGGGGGTCGGGCCGACCTATCTGGCCCGCCCCTCCCGACTGTTGGGTCCTCTTACGCTCGATCTCCTCCAAAAGTCATAAACCCCCAACCCCACCACACCAACACTACCCTCCCCGCCAACCCCACCACCCCCACCCCGCCCCCACACCTGAGACAGCAAAAACCCACACAACCACACCCCCACACACCACCCAATTGCCCCACACGGTATACTCCACACCTAACACCACCCCACCCCCCCCCCCACCCCACAACCCACCCCCCCCCCCGCGCACGACACAACCCCCCACCCCGCAACACCAACCCCCACCCCCAAACAGCCCTCCCACCCCAAAAGCACCCACAATATTCGCCGGACCCACGCCCACCCTCCCCACCCCCCCTCCCACTCACCCCCCAGCCACACACCCGCCCCTCCTACCCCCCCCCAAGCGGACAGAGTGAGTCCAACAAACCTCACTTTTTCGACCGCCCAACCAACAACCCACAACCCCTCCCCACCCCACAGCACCACAACGACGTTCGTCCCGTTTACTCCCACCCCCCGCTTAACCCCAGCACTGTCCCCCAGCTGAGCGAAACCACCTGACCACACCACCTGACCCCACAACTCGCACCCTCGACACTCCCTTTGCTTGTGCAACAGGCCCACAACTGACTCGACCTTTGCGCTCCATCCATTCAATTGTGCCCTCCAATCCTTTTGTGCTGGGGCCTCCTACTACCAAACGCCCCTCACTCTGGCAATTCCTCAAACCCTGATCTCAAATTTCCTTTACACATCTTTTATCGAGTTTTTCGTTTTTTCAATGATTTAAGGAGCCCAATAGGGATGGGCATGGGCCGAGGCGGGGTCGGGGACCCCTGTCTCCAACCGCGGCCCAAAGCCCATTCTGGGAATCCAAAAAAAAAACCCGTTCCCCAAACGGAGAATTTGGGGATTCCCCGAATTTTCATTTGTGGGTTTTATGTCTTTTTCTATCCTTATTAGTTTTATTATCTTTTTCTCTAAATTATATATACCAACAAAAAAAAAAAAAAAAATTAAATATATAATATACATATTAAACATAAAGACCATATCATCAAAAAAGAAAATTAAATCTATAATGTATATATTAAATATAAAAACTATCATATTAAATTGATAATATATTACAATATGTGACAAATTTATAATCAAATGATTCAAAATATGACAGTATCAAGATTCAAAACATGAGCTGCCAAAAAGACCCACCCCACAATTATACATATTAGTATTTTTTTGTTAAAATGTCTATCCTCGACAAGTGTTGGATCTGCCCATGATTAATGATTATAATGAATCCAAATATCAAAATAGTAATTATAATACATTATATATATATATATAATATTATGTATTATTGTATTAAGTAATAAGTATTAACATATATAATGTCTCTTTAATATATAATGTATTATATATGATATATTATACATATATATTATAATAAATTTTAAATAAATAACTATCATATATAATATAATAAATTCTAAATAAATAGCTATCACAATATAACAAAGACAATTAGATAATAGAATTGAAATAATGATTCAATGAGGGATAAAAAAAAAAATTATAATGATTTATTGATTCACTATAATCAATCAAAACAACAAATAATATATTAAATATATATTATGTATTAACGTAAGATTATAGATAGTAACATATTATATTATTATGTATAAATTATAATGTACAACATATATATGTTATAAACATTATATTTATATAGTATATACCATATATAATATATAATATACAATGTATAATGTATAATGTCAAATGTATACCATATATAATGTATAATATATAATGTCGATTGTATAACTTTTGTTTCATAACATTAACATAATATGTATATATATATATATATTACAAATATTTATAATGATTTATTATATTTAATCTAGTTTTATTTATTACCTATTTGTATATAGTTTTATAAAATACTTACACAATTAGTATTTGTTATTGTATAATGTATAATTGATTTTCAAATATTAAAATTATTATAGGTATATATGATTGATTTTCAAATATTAAAATTAATATAGGTATATAAGATTGATTTTTAATTAATAAAATTAAAATTAAAATTGATATATATATATATATATATATATGGGGCGGGTCGGGGCAAGACCTATCTCGGCCCCGACACATCCCCGAATTTTGAGGCTAATCTTAAGCTCGATCTCAACCCAAAGTCCGAACGATTTGGAAAAAATCCACCCCATTCGAACCAGGTCAGGACGAGTCCCCGCAGGGCTGAGCTTTGTACCCATCCCTAGAGCCCAACACACCCAAATAACACACAGTAATAGTAGTAGTTTAATCACCAAAACGTTAAAGACTCGTCCCTTTGAGTAATGCCACCCATATCACACTCGAATGCTCTTTGCCTTGTGAATCCCAAATTAACTTGATTTAGAGATTTCCAATCAATTTTGTGAATCCAATCAATTTTGTGATTGGGACATCATAATACAAAAATAAATAAATATGGCCAATTCTCAATATGATTCCAACAATAAATTTAATTTACAATCTTTTATTTTTTTATTATTAGGAGTATCCGAGTCAATTTACGCATACTTTACCTAATTTATCCAAGACTTTAGAATTGCTAGTTAGGTAAGAGCCCCCCAGTGGCCACTCTTATTAGTGTCTGGGGGGAATTGAACTAATCGTCTGAGATCTTAAAACTGCAAGCGGGTAAGAGCCTCCCAATGACCACTCTTATCCCTATTAGTGTCTAGGGGACTCGAACTAATTGTCTGGGGCCCTGGAATTGCCAACTGGGTTAGAGTCCCCTAGTAGCCACTCATATTAATGTTTGGAGGACTCACTCAAGAACTCATGAATCTCATTATACTCTTTTACCATCAGACTACTTAGTGGTGATTTTTATTTTACAATTGTGGTATATTATAAAGAGCAATACCATTTGTATAAACTTTTTTCATACAGTCTTATATGTCATTACTCTTTAATTGATAAATCATTTATCTAATTTGTTGAATATTTAATGAGTTAATTTTTTTACGTGCATTCATCCATTTATTTCATGACACATAAGGGTGAGGAAAGAGTTTTTACAAATAATATTATTAGTATAAATTCTATCAAAAATATCTAAACAATTAAGGAAACGGGCCGGTTCAAATAGAATGGGAGTTAGCGGCCCATTAAGTCTCAGCATAAAATTACGAATTTACCAGAAAGTTAGGGCTTTGAACACACCCGCCCTCTCGATATAAATCTCAGTGTCACTACGCTCGCAAGGCTTCTACGTTCTTCTTGAAATCTGATTCAGTGAGAGGATGCAATACTGAAAATCCAGAAGACAAGAAAATGGCGTTAGCGTTTGATGAGTTTGGTCGTCCATTTATACTAATAAAACAGCAAGATGAGAAGTCCAGGTTGCGTGGACTTGATGCTCAGAAAGCCAACATTTCTGCCGGCAAAGCTGTGTCTCGGATCCTCCGAACCTCGCTTGGACCCAAAGGCATGGACAAAATGCTCCAGAGCCCCGACGGTGACGTCGTCATTAGTACGTCTTCTTCTCCCGTTTAGATTTTACCGGTTTTTGCTTTTTTTTGCTTGGTTTATGGATCTTAGTGAACATTATGTTAAGTAAAGTTCTTGACTGTTTAAGTTTAGGGTTCTGTTTGTGAGAAGTGTTCAAGTTTTAAGGAGTTTGATTAAACTGTTTTTGTAACTATGTGTAGAAATTTACATATGTGCATTATGAGGGGTAGACCATTTAACCTGAGATTTATGGATTTCGTTGCATTTCACTCATTGGGAAAGCGAATAAAGTTGGTAGATTTTGTTTCATTACCCTTTTTTTCTTTTTTATAATTTGTGTTTTCAGCAAATGATGGTGCCACGATCCTTGAGCAGATGGATGTTGACAATCAGATTGCAAAGTTGATGGTTGAATTATCTCGTAGTCAGGATTATGAAATTGGTGATGGGACAACTGGTGTTGTTGTTTTGGCTGGTGCACTTTTAGAGCAGGCTGAACAGCTTTTGGAACGTGGAATTCATCCTATTCGAATTGCAGAGGGATATGAAATGGCTTCTAGAATAGCTTTTGAACACTTGGATCGTATTGCTCAGAAGTTTGAATTTGAGGTTTCTAATATAGAGCCTCTGGTTCAAACTTGCATGACTACTTTAAACTCTAAGATGTAAGTTCGGTCCCACTTTTTGGCAAGTTTGATGACATCCTTTACAAGCTTTTTGACTTCATAATAGCATGTATTACTCATCAATATGTGTAAATAAATGCCCACCCACATATGCTAATTTGTTTTTACCTCTTTTATCTTATGCGCTAATGAGGTTGAATTTTTTCTTCTTTTTTGCAGGGTGAATCGGTGCAAGCGCAGTTTGGCTGAAATAGCTGTGAAAGCAGTTCTTTCTGTGGCAGATTTAGAGAGGAAAGATGTTAATTTAGATTTGATTAAGGTTGAAGGAAAAGTAGGGGGAAAGCTGGAGGACACTGAGCTTGTATATGGGATTACTGTTGATAAGGATATGAGCCATCCCCAGATGCCAAAGCGAATTGAAGATGCTAAAATTGCTATCTTGACTTGCCCTTTTGAGCCACCAAAACCAAAGACTAAACATAAGGTGGACATTGATACTGTGGAGAAGTTTCAGACTTTACGTCTGCAGGAGCAGAAATACTTTGATGACATGGTTCAAAAGTGCAAGGTGGGTTGGCTTTCTGGTTTTGTGGAGTTATTACAATGTTAAAACATCTTGTCAATACCTTCTTTACCAAAGATCAAGCACCCCATTCTCTCTGAAATTTTTTAATTTATTTTATTTTAAAAGTTTTCAAGAGGCTATATTATATTTTTGAAATTGTAATATGTTGTTGGAAACTTAATGTTTTCTTCTTGTAACAGTTGCCGTTGGATTTTTGAGGGACTGGTTTACCATATTACTAAATGGTCAACATTTACTTGTTTGACTGTGTGCAGGATGTTGGAGCTACCTTAGTGATCTGTCAATGGGGTTTTGATGATGAGGCAAATCACTTATTAATGCACAGGAACTTGCCTGCGGTCCGTTGGGTTGGTGGTGTAGAATTGGAGCTTATAGCTATAGCCACAGGTTTGTGTTAATATACCTACTTAGAACTTAAATTTCTTTTTCAGCCCATTTTTATTTGCTTCTGGGAAAACTTTCTTATTAGCAAAGTAATGGTATCTGCATTTTGTAGGTGGACGAATTGTTCCAAGGTTTCAGGAGTTGACACCTGAGAAGCTTGGAAAGGTACTACCTGCTTTTTTTTCCGTTTATATTTTGATTGAGAATGCATGTTAAGGTATTTTTGTCTTTTCCAAAAGTATATCCTGTTTCATTTGACAGACAGAAGAGTTAATCAGTTAAAACCATACAACAGTACTTACAAAGATATATTTTTAAGTAGCTTTCTAACGCTCATCATGTACCTTCAAATTGTGATTAACTCTTATTACGAACTTTTCTGTGTTCAAATCTTTGCCTGTTTTATGTTATAATTCTTTTTTATAGTGCATCTCCAAAGTACAAGAATTATTGATGTTATACTGTATTGTTTCTTTTAGGCTGGTGTGGTTCGAGAGAAGTCTTTTGGTACAACAAAAGATCGAATGCTGTACATTGAACACTGTGCAAATTCAAGGGCAGTAACCATATTTATTCGTGGAGGTAGAATTATGTTTCCTTGTTTCTACTGTTAAAATTTATTTGGTCTGTCAAAATTGTGGTTTTCATTTGATCAAGTTTTTAATTTTTGATAGTAGTAAGATGTGGACTAAAATTTAGATATGATTGTTCATCGATATTTAAATCTATTTTGATAGGGCCAGCTAATATGTTTAACTGTTCGTAGTCTCATGTGTATGTCGCTTCTGATTGTCACTTTCAAGCGTTTTCTGATTAAACCTGTTCAAAAGAAAAGATGTAAACTCTGCCTAGCTGCTAAAGCCTGATGGCTGTTGTATTAAAGGCCTGGTTTTTAAACATTTCCTGCGAATTCAGTAAATTCTAATTTTCACTTGGCTAAAGTAACCACAAAACTAATATTTTCATGACGCTAATGCCTGTATATTTATGTAACACATCAGCCATGTTTGTTTCCTCTTTGTCAACTGTGCTTCTTGCTGACTTATCAGCGGTAGCTGGTTTAACTACATTTCATTTTCTCATGAAGTGGAATCAGTTGGTATTATTATGTTCATTATAGTGCAGCAAGACAAGGTTGGTTGCACTTATTCTGTTCAATACATTCTGGCCCTACAATATGGTGTGGGTTATATAAAGGACTTATCGATGTACTGAAAGAGTTAATCTTGAGAAGGGAGCTGAAGTTATTTAAATAATCTGATCCAGCTTATTGTGTTTGTTGATGCATTAGGTAACAAAATGATGATTGAGGAAACTAAGCGCAGTGTCCACGATGCATTGTGTGTGGCTAGGAATCTGATTCGTAACAATTCCATTGTTTATGGTGGCGGTTCAGCTGAGGTATCTTGCTCAATTGCTGTAGAGGCTGCTGCAGATAGATACCCAGGAGTTGAACAAGTATGAAAACTAAATTTCTTAATCTTTTTTACGAATCCCTTTTAGCATTTGTTTTTAATCTGATGATGTTAATAACATTGGCTGCTTTTATATCTGCAGTATGCTATTAGGGCGTTTGCAGATGCTTTGGATTTTGTCCCAATGGCTCTTGCGGAAAATAGTGGTCTCCAACCTATTGAGACATTATCTGCCGTGAAATCTCAGCAAATTAAGGTAATGGGATAGATATAATGGCCAATCTCAGCTTAGGCAATTGCTTCTGGGAATTTGTTTTGTGTAATCCTATTGTTCTGAAATTTTACTGATCTCAAAAGTTCTTTTTGTATTCAAACGTGCAGGAAAACAATCCATATTGTGGAATAGATTGCAATGATGTTGGCACCACGGACATGCGTGAGCAAAATGTCTTTGAGACACTGATTGGGAAACAACAGCAGATCCTTCTTGCAACACAAGTTGTCAAAATGATATTAAAAATTGATGATGTCATCTCACCATCTGATTTCTGATATGTTAGGTCAATTTTTATGGCTCTGCCTCGCAAGAATGGATCTCATTGTGTTGTATTTTGTTTACTCAGTATGGTGGTTTAGGTCTTTTGAAACCATATGTTACTTGGGAGTTGGCTTTTCCTATAGATTTTGGTTTGGTTTGTTGGATTTGTACTATGACACAAACTTCCGCCGGTTAATGAGGATTCATGATTTTGGAGAATTATCAAGTACTCTTTTTATCCATTTCCTATTTTATCATCTATACTCGTTTGCATAGATACAAAAAAGAAAAAATGTTTGAAACTGAAGCTCAAATATGAGTAGACCTGGCAATACAGTGTCCAAAAAATATAGGGTAGGGGTCATGTACTACACATTTGATTTTATTCTTTCATTATTTCATCTTTATAAGTAAACAATAGAATCATAATGCATTACATCTTGATTCATTATTCGAATATTGTCATATGCATTACATCTTGATTCATTAATCGAATAATGTCTATCCATTTGACGATAAAGGGTAAAATGTTGCCTCCATAATAAGTTAGCTACATTACAAGTTTGAAGTTGCAACTTCCAATATAGAAAGGCATTGAAACCTTTGTTACATCTTCAAAAGGAAGGGAGTTTATTTGAATTACTTCTCTTATTTAGCATCTTTACTTAGTGAGTATTAATGGTAAATAAAACTCATGGAAGTCGAAGCAGAAGTATAACCTCCATCCATAACAAGATTATGTGCGGTTATGAATCCGGCATCATCACTGGCTAGAAACAATGCAGCTTGTGCCACATCTTCAAATCTTCCACATCTCCCACGCAGTAAACTTCCTCTCTCGGATATTATCTCGCTCACTTCTTCACCCTTCATGTCCACTTTCTTAAGGAACTTTCTATAGGCATTGATAAGCATCTCAGAAGGAACACCATGAGGAGATATACAATTCACCCGAATTCCATACACACCCAACTCACACGCTGTGGTTCTTGCCAATCCAACGATGGCCTCTTTCGACATTGAGTAAGCGTGTGATCCAAGGCCTGCCATCAGAATTAACTTTAAAGGGGATAAATTTAGAATAATACAATATAAACTAGAAATTAACTCATCCATCCATGCCTGACATTAGGGCTGCAGAGCTCGACATGCAAAGGATACAGCCTCCTCTTCCACCATTGATCATTGCCCTTGCCGCGTGCTTGATTCCGTGTACAATTCCATTCACATTAACTGATAGCAGAGAATTCAGTTGGTTCATGTCAAGATTGGTGATGCTGCCATCAGGGCCAGAAATTCCAGCATTATTGAACATTATGTCTAATTGCCCTTTCCATGTAATTGCGAGTTGGATAGCCAATTCCACATCTGATTCATTGCTCACATCGCAATGTATGTACCGACCTCCAATTGAATCAGCCAGAGTAGTTCCCAGTTCATCTAGTATGTCCGCAATGACAATATGGGCACCATTTTCTGCAAATACTTTTGCCGTGGCAGCTCCAATTCCTCTTGCACCACCGGTTATTACAGCAACTTTTCCCATTAACCTTAAAAAAACAATAATAATTTGAAAACCATATCACTATAAAATCTACAATAATAGAAGATTGATGTGCTCAATATAACAATCAAAGTTCAATGTACAAATGAGGGTATTGTGATGATTGGTAAAACTAACCTGTTTGTAGAAAACTTTTGTGTTTGATCGGCGAGCTCCATTGCAGCTTATGATACTTTGTTAGAAATTGGATGGCATTTGTATAAGAAAACGTCAAATACAAAAAGATTTCATATATTGATTCCCAAATATCTCAGCAATGCTTTTCGAAAGGGTTATTTATTTACTCATACACACTTTTTTTCAGTCATAACTAATTACTAATTACTACTTACAAACTATAAACTAAAACCTATCTACCATTTTCATTCATAACTGATGAAGTATATAGTAATATATATTCATATTAATTTGAAAAACATGATCATCATTCTACATAATTTCTTACTTGGGACCAAATTGGGGAGTTAGGAGGCTAGCAGGATGGGACCAAGAGTCCTCATGTTGCTCGCCCAAATATGGGGCTAGCAGGATGAGGCTAAGAGCCCACTTCCTACTCGCCAAAACTGAGGGGCAAAGAGAGAGTAGCATTATTTGGGTTGGAAAAAGTCGTTTACTCTTTGTATTAAATCTTAATCTTTTTAGCCTCTTATTATGATTCTTTTTCAATCTTTAATAAGTTCTTTTAGCATTTGGTTTCTTGTAAATCTTGTACTTGTTCTTGAGATTAGTGAATTAATTGAACAGAAAGGTCTGATTTTAAATTTAGTGAATGTGGTGTGGTGGTTGTGACTTGTGGGGCAAGCCGTAGAAGTTCATTAACAACTTATGTTGATGGATGGTACTTGTTGAGGAAGTGTGGTCTCTTGATGGTCCCTTAATGCATGCGGTTGGAAGAAAATAAAGGGAGGAAGATGCCTCTTTTGTCCATTAATAATGTAGTATAGTGGCTCTACGGTACATGTCATACCGTTATTAATGTTTATCCTTCGTCCTGATTTCAGTTTTATAGCGTGGGAAGAGAAGAAGAGAAGGGTTTTTGTCCTTATTCCAAATGGTACTGTCTTTGTCTTGTCTTGTCTGTTGGTTATTTGAGCATGTAACGTGGTTATACGGGAGAGAAAAAGAGAGAAAACCAGAGAGAGGAGAGGAAGAACTTGTATTAGTTCTAATATATTGCAAAAAAAATACAGTAGATTTTTATAAGCAAACAGACTACTGTTGTACCTAATCACAAACATATTTTAGTCCCAATAACTTCCTATCCATACATTCTTATCAACCCTGATTACATCACATTAAATTGATACNAGCCTCTTATTATGATTCTTTTTCAATCTTTAATAAGTTCTTTTAGCATTTGGTTTCTTGTAAATCTTGTACTTGTTCTTGAGATTAGTGAATTAATTGAACAGAAAGGTCTGATTTTAAATTTAGTGAATGTGGTGTGGTGGTTGTGACTTGTGGGGCAAGCCGTAGAAGTTCATTAACAACTTATGTTGATGGATGGTACTTGTTGAGGAAGTGTGGTCTCTTGATGGCCCCTTAATGCATGCGGTTGGAAGAAAATAAAGGGAGGAAGATGCCTCTTGTGTCCATTAATAATGTAGTATAGTGGCTCTACGGTACATGTCCTACCGTTATTAATATTTATCCTTCGTCCTGATTTCAGTTTTATAGCGTGGGAAGAGAAGAAGAGAAGGGTTCTTGTCCTTATTCCAAGTGGTACTGTCTTTGTCTTGTCTTGTCTGTTGGTTATTTGAGCATGTAATGTGGTTATACGGAAGAGAAAAAGAGAGAAAACCAGAGAGAGAAAGAACTTGTATTAGTTCTAATATATTGCAGAAAAAATACAGTAGATTTTTATAAGCAAACAGACTACTGTTGTACCTAATCACAAACATATTTTAGTCTCAATAACTTTCTATCCATACATTCTTATCAACTCTGATTACATCACATGAAATTGATACAAAGTTGGCAACCAAATGCAAGTTGAATTCACCAAAATATATCACTTCAGCATGCCTACAGACTAGCTACATGAATTGCTCCATACCAGCTTCCAAACTTCAAATTCTTCTCTTTTGCCGCTAGATCACAGCTCCAGCATAATCCAAAAAATTGTTTCAAGCTAAATATCACTTCTTTGAACACTCCTCCTTGATATTTTTGCTTGAGACACCAAGTTTAAGCTTTAAGTCTTCAAACTTGGACTTACATAAGGACTTAGTAAATATGTTAGCCAATTTCACTTCCCCCCTGCAGTGTGTCAATCTGATTTCCCTGGATTGCTCAGCCTCCCTCACTGCATGAAACTTGATTTGTATGTGCTTGGTTCGACCATGCATGACTAGATTCTTTGCCATAGCAACAGCCGATTGATTATCACAAAAAATTTCAGTAGGCTCACACTGTTTTAACTCCATATCAACCATCAAATTTCTCAACCATATTGCTTGATTTATTGCAGCAGCAGCTGATATGTATTCAGCCTCTGCAGTGGAGGCACCATAATTCAGGAGGAAACATACCCTAATATGCTTCGCATGTCATCACAGGAGCCTCCCCAATCACTGTCTGCATAGCTTATCAATATGAAATTTTCAGATTCCTTGAACCGGATTCCATGATCTGCAGTTCCTCTAATGAACTTGAGCACTCTCTTGGCTGCTTTAAGATGTTCCTCACTTGATTTACTCATAAATCTTGATAGGAGACTAGTGGTAAACATGAGATTAGGTCTTGTCGCTGTTAAATATAACAAGCTCCCAATCATTCTCCTATAATCTGTCTCATCCACCGGGGCTGCTCCATCATCTTTGCACAGCCTTTGGTTTTACACCAAAGGTGTGGCAACCGACTTACATTCATCCATTCCAAACTTCTTAAGCATCTCATTAGCATATCTCCTTTGACAAATGAAAATGCCATCTTGAGATTGATGAATTTCCATTCCAAGGAAATAAGTCATTTCTCCCAAATCAGTCATCTCAAACTCTTTGTGCATTGCTTTCTTGAACTCTTTAACCTGAATAGCATTGTTTCCTGTCACCAACAAATCATCTACATAAAAGGAAACCATGATCACATCTTCATTGGCTTTCTTCACATACAAAGTATGCTCATTTGAGCTCATTGCATAACCTAGGCTGATTAGGTAGTCATTGATTCTGCTGTACCAAGCTCTTGGAGCTTGTTTTAGGCCATATAAGGCCTTCCTCAATAGGTACACCTAGTCCTCTTTCCCCTTGACTTCATGTCCCTCAGGTTTTTCTACAAAGATCTCCTCATCCAACCAACCATTCAAGAAAGCTGACTTGACATCCATTTGATATACTTTCCACTTGAATTGAGTTGCCAAAGCAAGGACTAACCTGATTGTATCATGTCTAGCAACTGGGGCAAATGTGTCTTGAAAGTCCACACCATGTTGTTGTGCAAACCCCTTCACTACTAACCTAGCTTTGTGCTTCAAAACTGAACCATCAGGGTTCAATTTTTTCTTGAAGATCCACTTTACTTGGATCACTTTTCTTCCGGCAAGCTTGTCCATAAGCTCCCATGTTCCATTCTTTTCTATCATGGACAACTCCTCCTGCATAGCAAGCCTCCATTCCTTTGACTTAGTTGCTTCATGATAAGATGTTGGTTCAAGCAATGCAACATTGCATCTCCCATAAATCTCAGCAAGAGGTCTAGTTCCTCTGACTGATACTTCTTCTTCTATTTCAAAATCTGCCCCATCAACTTGGTTAACAACTTGCTCTCTTTGTTATGGCCGTGGATCAAGCTAAATTTTCTTCTTTTCCCAGTTCCAAACTGACCTCTCACCAACCTTTACATCCCTTGAAACCACAACCTTTCTTGACTCTGGAATGAAAACCCTGTATGCCTTGGATTGGAGGCTGTAACCTACCAGAATTCCAGCCCTTGCTTTATCATCAAGCTTTGATCTTTTGATGGCTAGTATGAGCACATAACATATACTCCCAAAGACTCTTAGATGTTCCACTTGAGACTTAGCTTCATACCATGCTTCAAATGGAGTTTGATCCTTTAAAGCCTTGGTTGGAAGCCTATTCAACAAATACACACTAGTATTGACAGATTCTGCCCATAACTCATTTGACAACCCTTTTTCAGTCAACAAGCATTTGGACATCTCCATCACTGTCCTATTTTTTCTCTCACCCACTCCATTTTGTTGAGGAGTGTAGGGACAGCTAAACTGATGCCATATTCCAGCCTCCCTGCATGTTGATTCAAACTCACTTGAGGTGTATTCACCCCCATTATCACTTCTCATAGCCTTGATCTTTACTCCAGCTTGGTTTTCAACTTCAGCTTTGAACCTCCTAAACACAACAGCAACTTTTCCTCTTTGCTTTAGGAAGTACACCCAAGTCATTCTTGAATGATCATCAATAAACAAAGTGAAAAATATGGATCCATTTATGGATGGGGTCTGCATTAGTCCACACACATCAGTGTGCACCAATTGGAGCTTTTCAGTAGCTCTCCAAGCCTGGTTTGTTGGAAAGGCTGGTCTGCTAAGCTTCCCTATTTGACATACTCTACACAAGCCTTCTTTCTCTTCCATTTCGGGTAAGGTGTGTACCATACCTTTAAGTTTCATTTGCCTAAGGCCAGCATAATGGTAATGACCATATTTTTTATGCCATAGGTGAAAGATAGATGCATGGAGAATCAAGCATATCATACTATAACAAATATAGTCATAGTTTAAAAATAAATTTCAATCAAATTGAAATAAGTAAGGTAGAACATGTTACCTTAAGCCCTTAGCAACCTTGGAGACTCTTAATTTCAAGAGAAATTAAGCAAAAGAGTATCCACACCAAGGGAAGAAGAGATTTGACCAAGAGGGAGATTTAGGGTTCTTAGAGATTTTTTTTCTCTACCCAAAAATTCATATATCATTTTCTTTATATAGGAATCCTTGTAAACAATTCAATAATTGTTTTGGACTTCCTTAAACAATTCCATAATTGTTATGAAGTTGTTAAACTTCTTTAAATGATAACATTGGATTAACATTTAATCACAATTAACAATTTAACTCTTAAATTGTTTACATAACAATTTAACCCTTAAATTGTTTACAATTACAACCCCTTGTAAAATCCAATTTAATATAAAGAAAATGATTAATATAAATAACTTTATT